CGTTCAAATCAATGTTGTATATTTGGTTACATAACTACGCTTTCAAGTGATTGTATACACTACTTATTTAGTCCTGCACTGTGTCTTATTTAAATTTGGTGATGTTAAGTTCAATCAAAATGTAATTGTCTCACATATTGCCAATATAACACTCTTTGTATTCATTAGCTGAACCCGACAATGTAAATGCTTAGGTGATATATTGATGATACATGGTATAGGCAAATAATTGTCACATTAAAATTCAACTGAATTCAGTTCATGCTATTCATATTACTTTCAGATCTGAACACTGCATTACATAACAACGTGTCCAACCTCGGTGGCTTCAATATCACAGGTCATCCCGCCATTACTATTAACACTGGTAACAAAGTAGATGGACTTCCTGTCGGCATGATGATTGTGGGAAAGCACTTCGATGAGAGTACTGTTTTGAAAGTTGCTTATGCCTATGAACAATTGGACAAATGATATTTAGGTTGATGGATACGCAATTGCTACCTAGTTCAATAGAATTAAATTAATTTTTATAATCTTATATTTCGTAACCCGGATTATTTTTTTCTATTCTTTTGTCAAGCAAGTTATTCCTATAAAAAACATTTGCTCGTGATTGAAACTCGCCAACATACATGTTACATTGGATATGTATATTTTACATATGTACACTTAATGAGTTATGTATATTATTCCAAGTCATGCTGTTAACCAGGGTGCATGATTTCTCATGTAGTCATGATATACTATATTTTCAATGTCAGCTCTTAGTATTCTTGTAATTATTAAATACAATATTTCTGCATTACCTACATTCAGCATTGCCGACTCTAAGCACACTAAATGACAATGCATGTTTAAGCCATCCAGTGGAATAAACTAACGAAGTGTTATTCCAAAATGTGTCACACAAATAGAGATTGGTCATTTGGTGAAAACAAGTTTAAGTTTGAAAAATGAAACACCAAACGAATCATAGAACAGATTTAAAAAACCTCACAAAAGCAGGATTAGTTATTCATGATTTTGCCAATATTCCACGTATTTGCTTAGAGTGGCTCTATTTTAGCGGCAATGATACATACATTTATCGGCAACTGATTCTTATAGTAATACCATAATACGTTGAACAAACAAACACGCCATACGCCAAATACGCCTTGCTTACACACATGAATACCCATGCTAACCCCCCCCAAAATAACTTACTGAACCAAATGTTTGTTCATGGTATTAGATAATGCTTTAATTTACATGAAAGCGCACAATTCGAGTATATAAACGGCAAGCGAGGGTTCTAGGTAGCGAATATACGATATATCTGGTAATAACCGGGCGTAACGTCTTCTCTTGGATTATACTACTGTCGATTTCAGCTTTGAGGTTTTTAATTATAGTTTTCGCTGTGTAGTGAACGTCCAAGTAATAATTCACTGTGACTAAATAATCTTTTCCACGGAATCCAAACTGATTATTTCGACCATTGTCGATTCATGCAGTACTAGTCTTCAATCTTTAACATTTATTTGTATCTCTTATATGATTCTGTTCACAATATTTGCATTTTGACTGCTGCACCCAAACTGGCATCTTATATGTCCTAGTAGAGTTATTTTGCTTCACTGGGTAGACAGCTACTAGACTTTCTATATCTCTGATTCTGGTTTATGACAATTCAGGTATAGACTAATTTGACTGCATTTATCTATATATAGATCCGCTTATCCTAACATTTTTTCGCTCAGTCGTGAATCACTGATACCACAAATTAGTCTTAATAAATGATTGCTGCAATGTAGCGAGATTACATGTTGCCGCAAAGATATTGAAATGAGTGATGTGTTTGTTCAATAGTTCACGTGGTTTCCAGTGAAGCACGCGCTATGGTTTCATTCTTCTTTAGTTGCCCTGCTCATCAAATTCGTTGATTAAGTTTTCTAGTCTTGTCAAATTTCTATGCTTCATATTTGTCTCCCCATCTTTGCCAACGATGTCTTCTTCGTCTTGTTTTTAGTAACACTAACTCAGCATATAGTGTTAACTCTTATCTACTAATACGCATTCGTGTGATCAGGTCATAGTTCAATATACCTTACTTCAAGTCCTAAAAGATGCTTTATCTGCAACTACTCCACCAGCTAAGTGCTCACAGTAGACGTATATAAGGCGACTAGGTCAAAGCTTGGGTTTTACTGGAACTATACTGCTCACTAATGTAAGCTTTGGTTATTTTGGTTGTAGTAACTAATTTAAGGTAGCGGGACTATTATTTGCATACTTGTTTTCTTCTTCTAATTGGGACCAAACGACTACAAATAGACCCAGGAAAGTATATATTTTTGGAATCGCCAGACTTCAAGCTTTTCAAAAGTGTGTTGGTCATGCCCGTATCTGCTACTTTTTTTGTAAAAAAATAATTACGCATTTATGCTGGTGATAAGAAGTTTTGTTTTCACTTTTCCTAGTTGTTCAATAGTTTTATTCAAGTAACGCGTTTTGAATAGTAGTGTCCTGAATTTTAATTTCTGTTTTAGTCGCATTGACCCCAACTCAAACCACAACACATTGGTAAATAATCCATGAAATAGTTTGTCTGGACACATTCAAGTTCCTCTCATTGTCACCTTAAAGCTGTGAAAATTTGGTGTTAATCCGACGACAATAAGTATACGTTATTTTTTGTTAAAGACCTTGTATTTTGAAAAACATAAACTCCTAGAAAACGTTGATGAAGTCACAGCAAAGATTTTCAAGCTTGTTTATCTGCACAAGCGATTCGTTTTCCCATCAAGGTCTGTTTAACATGTGTAGGGGCATCCAAATGTGTAAGGCTATTTGAAACCAAAACAAAATAAAGGAATGGGATAGCTATAGTTCGATAAAATCGACAGATGAAAACACTAAAATCATTGATTTTTTTCAGTGGCTGTGTGACCTTGTGTCTGACACATTCATATGCAAATGACTGATCTGTGAAATAAACAGGGGCGGAGACAAACCACTCAAATGTTTGGAAACACTCATTTACTACGTTCACGTTACGGGATCTCGGCATGTGCCGAAATTTTTAATCAGTTGTGTTTGCAGAGGGATTACAGCAGTTGTGTTCACGTTATTCAGGACCCACTTAGGACCGACTGGGCTCGTGCCGAAATCACGCTCTCATTCGTCGATCTGTTGGCCCAAACGATACGCATATGATGATAATAATAATTGTTATAGTGAAATTATATCCATTTGTTGCAATGGTGTTTATTACGAGCCATCGTG